CTATATTAAGACCCTGGATTAATTTTTCTAGTCGATTGATTCTAGCACTTAAACAATTAACATTATCATCCCCGTTTATTCATTTAGCAATTAAGGGTTTATGACAAGTCGAATTCTTGAAACTTATTGAAGGCAAAACACAAGATCATATTTTCGTCACATAAAACTTATTCTTCACATGATATCACTACCAGTGAAAAAAATTCAGACTTGAATTTAGTGCGCAAGCGCACATTCTGTTTGACTGTACTGAAAAAAATAATGTACGCACATCGAATTTTTTTCACTGATCACTGGGTAATTTTGTCTTTAGCCTGTTCAACATATTACGCGCCTATATTTAACCCAGTAAATAAATAAACTTATGTTACTAACATGATGGAATCTTTCTAACGTAATCCAACAATTAGCTACGTAATAATTAAATATACTTATATAATGAATTTTTGTTTAACTAATGCGTTTAAATAATATAGATATTGAACGTGAGGCAGTCAATAACAGATAATGGGAGTCATTCGTAAGAATATTCCATTATCTGGATTCAAATTGACGTCAGCTTCTGGACCACAGAAATGACGTATCAAATTTAAAGTCAAATGAACAAGTTATTAGTTTCGTAGCGTATTATCCGGTAGCTGAAGCAACAGAGAATGACACCTTTTAATGATGCAATCACCATCAAAATAACAATTTATCAACTACTTACTAGGAAAACAAATATCCGGAACTTAGTTAAAAATAAAAGTAAATATATTGGTTGATATAATTGATAAATTGATGATCACTTATCTAAAAATAGGTGCGGACATAAACACGCACAAAATCTGGCCTATTACTCCCCATAATATCCGGAGCGTAGCGAAGGATAATGAGCTTGTGAAGGCATTGTAGTCTTACAGCTATTCTGGAACACCTAAAAAATTTGCACCTTCCCAAAACCTCTTCGATCTCATTCTAATAATAACCTAACATTTCGGAAACTACGTCTCTGTCTTCGGGTCTATATTTCGAGGACAGCGACATAATTTTCGAAACGTTAGGTTATTTTCAGAACAATATCGAAGAAATTTCGGGAAAGTGCAAATTTTTAAGTGTTCGAGAATTTATGCTTAGGATTTTGTAGACTTCTATATCTCAAACCCGAATCTTAACACGAACCCTAATTCTAATCCTACCCTTGTCCTTCCTCCGCCAATAAATTAATGAAAAAAAAATCCCATTCATTTAAATTCTATTCCTAAAATTTATAATAATATCGATATCTTAACTGATAATTGTTAATGGATAATGAATTTAGTATAATTTTTTTTAAAGTGTTATTGATTTTAGGTATCAATTCATCAGTAATGTTTATAAACGATTTTATAATTTGGGTCACTGCGTAACGTTATGAGTATTCGGGAACTTTTGATCAAACTTTGATAATTTATTGGACCATATTCTTGAGTAGATACTCTACCATTAATGCAAGTCTGGTTATATAATATTATATAACAACTTACTACAATTCTCGTTCAAAGTTTTCAAAATTCTATTTTAACTTAATTACTAAAATTGATTGAACATCGATATTTCAATTTAAGACATTTGGCCCGAATACTCATAACGTTACGCAATAACCCATTTTAAAAAACCAGTTCAATTAAAAGGTGATACGTTAATTAAATTAAAGTTTGAGTTGGTTTGGGATTAAAGTTGAAGTGGTACTACAAGTATTAGAACTATTCTACAGTACGTCATTTCGTTAAACGTTGCATTCGGAGTTCATTAATCAATGACTTTGTGACATATAGCAATAGTAGCCTATTTTTAACAATGTTCTTGTATCACATGCTCCTGAATTGTGACCAATGCATTTTTTAATTTGATGCAAGTCACGTGGACTTTCCATTTCGGTGATTTTTAATCTCATTGGTACGTATTTTTAGAATACGTTTGCATTTTTATTTACTATATATTAAAAGGGATCAACAAATTTTAAAATTAGAATTCAGTAATAATGATTTCTTCGTCAAAATATTTTACCGAAAAGTAAAAATAGACTGTTTCACAATTAGCCTTGTCCCAATTGAACTCTAAAATTCAAACAACGGCCTTATTCTTCAACAAACTCACGAAAGCATTAAAGAATAGATAATGGACGATGATAAACGTCACATAATAAATTCAAATAAGTTTAATATGTAATAACCCTGTGACCTTTTGAGGATGATACCACTCCTGGTATCCCTGCAGATTTCACAAAGAGACGGGCATTGCATAAAGAGACGGGCAGAATTGCATAAAAAGGCAGCAGGATGATCACCGATTGATTCTGGCATTTGTTGATTTTAATTTCGATGCTGTAGAATATTCTATCGCCTCTCCATAACGATAATGCTACAGGTCAAGTGATAATACGTATATGTTTAATCTAAATATGTAATGTACTACCTAAATATGTAATGTATTACCTAAATATGTAATGTACTACCTCAATGACGTACTGCATGAAAAAAAAGTATATAAGTATGACTCCCGCTGATTCTCTTGGCTTCACCAATAAACTAATCAAAAAAGTAAAAATATATATAATATATAATATCTTTCAAAGCTTTTAAATTTACTAGTTAAAAATTACTTCGAAAAAAAAAAAATGACTAAAGCAAATAGAGTTTCTACTCGAAGAGTGACTGTACCTGGTGGTGAAATTGTTGATAGAAGGCCCCTTACCGCCTTCAATCGATCATCTACATTTCCTTATTCTCAATCCGATCGTAATAAAACAAATGTTACAAGCGATAAATATCATCATTGCTCTAAATGCACAAACGGGGATGATAATGTTAATTGTTTAAGTGCTAGAATCAATCGACTAGAAAAATTAATCCAGGGTCTTAATATAG